TGGAGAAGATCCAAAAGATCTCAGGACAGTATTCTGTATCGATATATTGATTAACCGCAGGAATTAATCCATTATTGATTAATTTCCAAACATTTGGTGGATTTCCAAGTGCTAAAACTCTTATTACTTTAAGAGTGAAGCTAGTAAACTCTGGAACTTGCAAGAAGTTAAGAATATTCTCATATAATCCTATTTTATTGTAGGAAAGGACAATTGTACTTGATTTGCAGGCCATTTCAACATATGACTCTAATATGTAATTTACCGCGTTTATATTGGTCAAAAGAAGAAGAGGAGAGATGGGAACTACAGAATTAAATAAAGTATCAAATTCAATGTCAGCCGGGTTGGCAAACATCTTGTAAATTGTTTCGCAGCATGTTTCTACTATTTCTGGCTCAGTTGCTTCTTGAGCGATATTTACAAGTAAAATATGTATTTCATTACATAATAAACCGTCTCTAGCGTATGCAATTGAGTCTCTCATTCGATTTATGAGTGAAAGTGTGGCGTTTATGAGGTTGGGATTCTGTAAAAAGTCAGGTAATAAATAACAGAATCCGTCATCTATTAAAATCGAAAGGTTATCATTATTAAATGAGAAAATTAAGCCTGTAATCGAGATAAGGTATGATAAAGTTTGTTCTGAAAAATTTTGTTGAAAAGATTCGGATAAAGCAGAAACAACTTCCTTATTCTTAGCAATTGCTTTAAGTTCTGATAAATTTGAAGCATCTCCATTCACGAGAAGCATGCAATACCTCTGAATTCGAGATTCATCTTTTGATTGAAAAATGGCAGCAGCTGCTTCCATTACCATTTGGATATCTTCATTTAGTGAGCACCTCGATTTTGCACGACTGGGTTGAGAATAAGCTACATTTTTGATTGAAGGTCGATTCATTTGTCTCAAAATCAATGTACGCGAATTTCTTTCCTGTTGAAGTTGAGATTTATAGTCAGAAAGATCACCTCCTGAATTATCACGAACCATTTGTTGGATTTCATTGTTAGATTCGCTTCTTTGCATAAATGATCGCTTGTCAGTTTTTATGGGAATTCGTTTTCATTAATTTCTCATGAGAATTGCATATGAACTCCCTATGAATGAATAGGATCTAGGAACATTCAGGTCTTTAGCAACAAATAATTTTGACAAAGAGAAAACATGTATCTAAGCCTTCTCAACAGCATATATCGATTCAAATATCACACTATTATCGATTATCCAATTATTTCGGAAGGATTCAGACAATTAAATCTACCGACGAGTAAAATGCTCATTTTCTGTTAGGAAATTTAATATTATTACTCTATTCATCCTTTGGCATAAAACAATCCGATTTAGAAGCTTGAAATGTCATAACTGATTACATCCACCGTTTTGAGATAAAAACATAAAAAAAATTATTCAAAATGTATTCTTTCATCAAATCTTGCTCGAAATGGATAAATACATCAGTCAAACTTCGAGGAATTGATGGTATTATACTCTTTCAATCGTTCTTCAAAACGCTTCCATTGCTTATGGTTATTTTGCAATTTCAGATAAATTTAACCCATTGTTTTTAGTTCCTATTAGTAATTTGATGGATCTAGAGTACAACTCTAATGATCTACTCATTAGATTCCATGAATATGATGAAAAAGAACTAATATTCGAATTTTCAAATTCAAATGATTTAGAAATCTTTGTCTCTCAATTTACAATTTGCTCGAAACTTACCACAGACATCAATAATCGCTTCTCGAATGAGAACGCTACATTTATGAAGTCAATAACGAAGCAAGTCTCTCCTTCTAACTTAACACGCGGAACGGTAGACATTGCATCTATTCTACTTCCGTTAGATACAGTTCACTCTCAAAAAACGTGGGAACAGAGAATAATTAAATGCAATATTCCATATTACACAGAAATCTATGGATTTAACTTCGGCTTCCTCACATACAACGTCGGAACGAAGGATGGAAACGATGACGTTGTTCTTTTTTAGCTGCCATCTTCTCAGGACGAGAGTTGATGCTTTGTTTATTGCTCTCGAAGAAATTAATTACGGAACAGAATCTATCGTCATCGGTTCAACAGCAGCCAAAGGCGAATGGCTAAAGACATTCAGAAAAGTCATGACATTAACACAACTCGATTACGCTCTACTAAAATGTGAATCTCTTGGTGGAGTTTTCACAGCCGTATTCATACGTCCTTCTTTCCCACACTACTTCGCAGTAGAACAGCCACAGCAACTGCGTCTCGGTGTTGCAGGAATTTTGGCCAATAAAAGTGCATTGATTTATCATATGATTATATCAAGAGCATCATTTTACGTTGTTGGCTGCCACTTAGCTCCACATACAGGAAATAATAAGGAAAGATTGGCTCAGATCGAATTAATCCTTAAACAAATTCCGGAATGTGATTATATTATTATTCTCGGTGATATGAACTTCAGAATACTTCTTCCATACAAAAATGCTGTTGAATTTGCCAACGAGCACAAGATTTCAGAGTTATTGGAAACAATCAACTGAAAGCCGGATTAAATTTCACAGATATCTTAACAGGGTTCGAAGAAGGACCAATAACATTCCCACCGACATACAAGTTCGATGTAGGTACAAATACATACGATACTGGTCCAAAACATCGTGCTCCGGCTTATACTGATCGTGTTATCGTAAAAACATCAGATCGCCGCTCAAAAGTTGGTCCATCACCAAAGATGATTTTTGAAACAGATCTTTTGAGGACAAAAGTCCAAAACATCAAATTATTACAGAAGATAATTTTGGAAACGATGACCATCCTATTAATTACCCTTCAAAACCAGAATGTTTGACATATACATCACTCCAAGCAAAGATTTCCGATCACAGACCAGTTTTTGCCCTATGGAAGTTCCAAGTTCCAGTCATCAATACAGAAAAGTATAAACAGTTGAAGGATTTGATGCAGAAGAAGAAAGAAGAGGCGAAATTATTCGCTAAACCAATAGTTCAACATGAAATCAAAGATAACGTTCTTGAAATTAAGAACATCGGATGCTGCTGGGCAATTTGGTCTGCAGACTGCCAAAATGTAAGACTTAACCGTACTAGTGGCATCATTTATCCAACACAAAGTGAAATGATTCGTTTTGAAAAGCAAATTCCAGATGATTCAGGAAGTATCAAATTATCTTTTGAAAGAGGATCACCCATCGAAATTAATGTTTAAACTTATATGCGTTTTATTGTTAGATTTTTTGTAATTTTAGAAATAATTTTTTACAACATTTATGTCTCGATATAAGATACAATGTATAGTCACCATGCTAAACTTCGAGTGTGCGGCATACTAGAGGCTTTTGGAAGCACCTATGCCAAAGTATATTTAAAAATCGATCTTTTACTGCCCGTTGAGGCATGGATTCAAATGTTGATGTTTGTATCCTAATTTTGACACTTCTGCCAATGATTTGAATTAATTCGATCATGTTTTGAAAATATAAATGGTCGAAAATTTAGGGTGGTAAAATCCGTTTTTTGTCAATTTGCATGAATTTGCAGGGAAGTCATCTGAAAAAGATGACGACCCATGGAGCAGTTTCTTTAACATTCAATTTACCGGCCAAAAAATCAAATCATGCCTCAATTGCAATCCATCATCCTTAAATGGTCAATATTACTTAGAAGAGTGCAATTTTTTAATGAAAAAGATCAGGTTATCAACATTAACTCAGTTAACGACACATTGCTCCTACATAATCGGTGTTCTTTTCGTAAATGCGTTGCAACTGGAGAAAAGAGTTGCGTTTACTTCTCACTAGGCAGGAATAATTCAATTGTTCAACGAAAATTTTGTTGTACAAATGCCAAAGTGAAGAAGGGCCACATTTTACAGAAACAATTGTTGACTCAAGCGTTATTATTCAAAGTTCCCTTTTCGATGTAGGAAATTTATCTACGGGTAATTCTATTTCTCTCAAGATGAAGAACGCCTCAAACGTTCTTGGGGGCCACAATTTCTTCGGTTAACTAAACCAGAACGAACCATTACCACCAGGATGCGTCCTATTTAAATTTATACTTCCACCAGCAGATTTGACAGTTTATAGAAACGTGTTTGACCCTCAAAAATGTTATGTGTCATGCAAGTTTCAGTTCAAGCAACAATAGTTTTCTATGTATGGTAAGGACCTTTATGACTTTGCTTCTAAATTCTACGAAACCACCTAGTAAACAGATCTCGTGCTTCTGTCTTCATCTTGAAGAGAAATAGAATTACCCGTAGATAAATTTCCTACATCGAAAAGGGAACTTTGAATAATAACGCTTGAGTCAACAATTGTTTCTGTAAAATGTGGCCCTTCTTCACTTTGGCATTTTGTACAACAAAATTTTCGTTGAACAATTGAATTATTCCTGCCTAGTGAGAAGTAAACGCAACTTCTTTCTCCAGTTGCAACGCATTTACGAAAAGAACACCGATTATGTAGGAGCAATGTGTCGTTAACTGAGTTAATGTTGATAACCTGATCTTTTTCATTAAAAAATTGCACTCTTCTAAGTAATATTGACCATTTAAGGATGATGGATTGCAATTGAGGCATGATTTGATTTTTTGGCCGGTAAATTGAATGTTAAAGAAACTGCTCCATGGGTCGTCATCTTTTTCAGATGACTTCCCTGCAAATTCATGCAAATTGACAAAAAACGGATTTTACCACCCTAAATTTTCGACCATTTATATTTTCAAAACATGATCGAATTAATTCAAATCATTGGCAGAAGTGTCAAAATTAGGATACAAACATCAACATTTGAATCCATGCCTCAACGGGCAGTAAAAGATCGATTTTTAATATATCTTTGGCATAGGTGCTTCCAAAAGCCTCTAGTATGCCGCACACTCGAAGTTTAGCATGGTGACTATACATTGTATCTTATATCGAGACATAAATGTTGTAAAAAATTATTTCTAAAATTACAAAAAATCTAACAATAAAACGCATATAAGTTTAAACATTAATTTCGATGGGTGATCCTCTTTCAAAAGATAATTTGATACTTCCTGAATCATCTGGAATTTGCTTTTCAAAACGAATCATTTCACTTTGTGTTGGATAAATGATGCCACTAGTACGGTTAAGTCTTACATTTTGGCAGTCTGCAGACCAAATTGCCCAGCAGCATCCGATGTTCTTAATTTCAAGAACGTTATCTTTGATTTCATGTTGAACTATTGGTTTAGCGAATAATTTCGCCTCTTCTTTCTTCTTCTGCATCAAATCCTTCAACTGTTTATACTTTTCTGTATTGATGACTGGAACTTGGAACTTCCATAGGGCAAAAACTGGTCTGTGATCGGAAATCTTTGCTTGGAGTGATGTATATGTCAAACATTCTGGTTTTGAAGGGTAATTAATAGGATGGTCATCGGTTCCAAAATTATCTTCTGTAATAAATTTGATGTTTTGGACTTTTGTCCTCAAAAGATCTGTTTCAAAAATCATCTTTGGTGATGGACCAACTTTTGAGCGGCGATCTGATGTTTTTACGATAACACGATCAGTATAAGCCGGAGCACGATGTTTTGGACCAGTATCGTATGTATTTGTACCTACATCGAACTTGTATGTCGGTGGGAATGTTATTGGTCCTTCTTCGAACCCTGTTAAGATATCTGTGAAATTTAATCCGGCTTTCAGTTGATCTGTTTCCAATAACTCTGAAATCTTGTGCTCGTTGGCAAATTCAACAGCATTTTTGTATGGAAGAAGTATTCTGAAGTTCATATCACCGAGAATAATAATATAATCACATTCCGGAATTTGTTTAAGGATTAATTCGATCTGAGCCAATCTTTCCTTATTATTTCCTGTATGTGGAGCTAAGTGGCAGCCAACAACGTAAAATGATGCTCTTGATATAATCATATGATAAATCAATGCACTTTTATTGGCCAAAATTCCTGCAACACCGAGACGCAGTTGCTGTGGCTGTTCTACTGCGAAGTAGTGTGGGAAAGAAGGACGTATGAATACGGCTGTGAAAACTCCACCAAGAGATTCACATTTTAGTAGAGCGTAATCGAGTTGTGTTAATGTCATGACTTTTCTGAATGTCTTTAGCCATTCGCCTTTGGCTGCTGTTGAACCGATGACGATAGATTCTGTTCCGTAATTAATTTCTTCGAGAGCAATAAACAAAGCATCAACTCTCGGTCCTGAGAAGATGGCAGCTAAAAAGGAAACAACGTCATCGTTTCCATCCTTCGTTCCGACGTTGTATGTGAGGAAGCCGAAGTTAAATCCATAGATTTCTGTGTAATATGGAATATTGCATTTAATTATTCTCTGTTCCCACGTTTTTTGAGAGTGAACTGTATCTAACGGAAGTAGAATAGATGCAATGTCTACCGTTCCGCGTGTTAAGTTAGAAGGAGAGACTTGCTTCGTTATTGACTTCATAAATGTAGCGTTCTCATTCGAGAAGCGATTATTGATGTCTGTGGTAAGTTTCGAGCAAATTGTAAATTGAGAGACAAAGATTTCTAAATCATTTGAATTTGAAAATTCGAATATTAGTTCTTTTTCATCATATTCATGGAATCTAATGAGTAGATCATTAGAGTTGTACTCTAGATCCATCAAATTACTAATAGGAACTAAAAACAATGGGTTAAATTTATCTGAAATTGCAAAATAACCATAAGCAATGGAAGCGTTTTGAAGAACGATTGAAAGAGTATAATCACCATCAATTCCTCGAAGTTTGACTGATGTATTTATCCATTTCGAGCAAGATTTGATGAAAGAATACATTTTGAATAATTTTTTTTATGTTTTTATCTCAAAACGGTGGATGTAATCAGTTATGACATTTCAAGCTTCTAAATCGGATTGTTTTATGCCAAAGGATGAATAGAGTAATAATATTAAATTTCCTAACAGAAAATGAGCATTTTACTCGTCGGTAGATTTAATTCGTCTGAATCCTTCCGAAATAATATGGATAATCGATAATAGTGTGATATTTGAATCGATATATGCTGTTGAGAAGGCTTAGATACATGTTTTCTCTTTGTCAAAATTATTTGTTGCTAAAGACCTGAATGTTCCTAGATCCTATTCATTCATAGGGAGTTCATATGCAATTCTCATGAGAAATTAATGAAAACGAATTCCCATAAAAACTGACAAGCGATCATTTATGCAAAGAAGCGAATCTAACAATGAAATCCAACAAATGGTTCGTGATAATTCAGGAGGTGATCTTTCTGACTATAAATCTCAACTTCAACAGGAAAGAAATTCGCGTACATTGATTTTGAGACAAATGAATCGACCTTCAATCAAAAATGTAGCTTATTCTCAACCCAGTCGTGCAAAATCGAGGTGCTCACTAAATGAAGATATCCAAATGGTAATGGAAGCAGCTGCTGCCATTTTTCAATCAAAAGATGAATCTCGAATTCAGAGGTATTGCATGCTTCTCGTGAATGGAGATGCTTCAAATTTATCAGAACTTAAAGCAATTGCTAAGAATAAGGAAGTTGTTTCTGCTTTATCCGAATCTTTTCAACAAAATTTTTCAGAACAAACTTTATCATACCTTATCTCGATTACAGGCTTAATTTTCTCATTTAATAATGATAACCTTTCGATTTTAATAGATGACGGATTCTGTTATTTATTACCTGACTTTTTACAGAATCCCAACCTCATAAACGCCACACTTTCACTCATAAATCGAATGGCAGACTCAATTGCATACGCTAGAGACGGTTTATTATGTAATGAAATACATATTTTACTTGTAAATATCGCTCAAGAAGCAACTGAGCCAGAAATAGTAGAAACATGCTGCGAAACAATTTACAAGATGTTTGCCAACCCGGCTGACATTGAATTTGATACTTTATTTAATTCTGTAGTTCCCATCTCTCCTCTTCTTTCTTTGACCAATATAAACGCGGTAAATTACATATTAGAGTCATATGTTGAAATGGCCTGCAAATCAAGTACAATTGTCCTTTCCTACAATAAAATAGGATTATATGAGAATATTCTTAACTTCTTGCAAGTTCCAGAGTTACTAGCTTCATCTCTTAAAGTAATAAGAGTTTTAGCACTTGGAAATCCACCAAATGTTTGGAAATTAATCAATAATGGATTAATTCCTGCGGTTAATCAATATATCGATACAGAATACTGTCCTGAGATCTTTTGGATCTTCTCCAATTTAATGGAGACCTTAGAACATGATATTATTCATATTTTTGACGCCAATTTTATTTCAATGGTTGTAGAGAAATGTAAAATCGGAACTTTTCCGATAAAGAAAGAAGGATCATATTTCCTTGCAACTTTCGCATTATTTATCGACAGGTGCGACTTGATTCCATTTTTCTCATCCGATGTAATAGATATTTTAGTTGAAATGCTTGGTTGTGGAGTTCTACTTGTTGTTTTGAGAATCGTTGATAGTTTTGTCCAATTGGTTACGAAATTAACCGATCGAGATTCAAATCGCGATATAATTACAGAACTAATTGAATCTGACCTCAGTGACCGTCTGTCAGATATTATAGAACAACCAAACTCCATTGTAACCAATCGTGCAACTTATTTACTCGAATACTTGAATTATCTTGAAAATGGTGAAACATCGCCAACTTTAATAGACTAAAAACTTGTTTGAATTTGTTTGACAAATATAATTATTTATTTCCATCTAATTTTTAGCATAAATAATACACAAATATCTCTAAAATGTAAAAAACTTGCTGATTGGTAAGAATAATCTATATATGTTGTTAGATATATTGTTAATTCCCTCATACTTATTTGGATAATGGAATCAATGAAGATGTTGAAATTGTTTCCTGATTGTAACTAAGATTTCTCATTGAATAATAAACAAAATTCAAGTTGGTCTTTGCGATATTGCACTATGGGTTAATGGTGACTAATTTTCAAAATTTCGAAATTAAAAATTTTTATTTTATTTGTTTTTGTTAAAAATGGACCGGATAATAGTATATTCAAATTCATTCTATCATATTTTGGTCGCTTATCATTGATCGATAATTGTTCAGCCAGACCCCTCAATTTTTGCCAAAATGTTTAACTCAGGCTCGGAGTACGATCGTAACGTTAACACATTTAGCCCAGATGGCCGTCTTCTTCAAGTAGAATATGCTATTGAAGCTGTTAAACTTGGATCCTCTGCTGTCGCAATTCTTTGCCCAGAAGGTGTAATTTTCGCTGTCGAGAAGCGTCTTTCATCACAACTTCTCATCGCAAGTTCAGTAGAAAAAGTCTATGCAATCGATGATCACGTTGGTGTTGTTATGGCAGGCTTAGCTGCTGATGGCAGAACAATGGTTGAACATATGCGCGTTGAAGCCCAAAATCATCGCTTCTCATTCGATGAACCAATCGGAATTAAAGCAGTTACACAGAGTGTTTGCGATCTCGCTCTTGCTTTCGGTGAAGGACGCCGCAAGAAAGGCGATGGACAAATGTCTCGTCCATTCGGTACAGCTCTTCTCGTAGCAGGTATAGAAAATGGCAAGTGCCACCTCTTCCATACAGATCCTAGTGGTACATATACTGAATGCCGCGCTCGCGCAATTGGAGGCGGCAGTGAAGGTGCTGAAGCACTTCTTAGAGATTTGTATAAGGATGGAATGACACTTCACGAAGCTGAAGATCTCGCCCTCTCTACCTTACGCCAAGTTATCCAAGAAAAACTTAACGAAAATAACGTTGAAGTTGCTTGTGCTAGAGTATCCACAGGCAAATTCGAGATCTATACATCTGAACAACGCCAGGAAATTGTAGCAAGACTTCCTCCACCAATTATTCCAGAGTAAATTTTTTTTTTTATTCATTGAGCTAAATACATAATACTAACTGATAATTAATTGTGGAAAAGATTACGAAAATGATTTTTTTATTATTATTATTATGTATAGATATACCTTTTCATATTCTGGATAAGGATCTTTTCATTGGATTTTCTTGATTTTGGTAATGGATTTAGACTATGTAGGTACTCGGTGACTAATAGACGAAGAATGGAAGAAGACTGCAAGAGCGATTTCGAGGAAATATTATTAAAATTAACATTCGATTATTTGACTTGCAAATAAACATATTTGTACTATTAATCGGTTTTACAGAATAGATCTTGCGTTATTGTATTTTTTGAAAAAGTATCTAGAATTTTTCCTAAGATACTCATTTTGCGAGATAAAATGATATACCATCTACTAGGCATTTGTGTGTTGCTTCCCATATGTGGATAGTAACTACAGAAATTGTAATTTCAAGAAATTTGAATACATTTGGAATCCTAAGAAAGACATTGTAATATTGAGCGTCTCCTATTTCAATATACCATATTGATGAAAATATAAATTCATGTAATCTGTCCTTAAATATGCTATCTAAACCTGTGAAAGAAACTCAATTTCACCATAAAATATGAGAGAATTCAAAACTGTGAAATAAAACGAACATATTCACATATGAGATGACAACCATCTATATTAGTTTTCTCAATTCTTCATTTGAAATTCCAAAAAAAAATTCCAAAATTTGAAAATCAAGAGAAGAAACACAAATTTTCCAAGAAAATTTGCAAAATGAAAAAATTTTGGAATTATAAACATTATTTATTTTTGATGCTTGTTCCAAGATTTGTCTTTTTCTCCATATATGATATGAATATTTTGGATTATTATTATAATTTATTTTTATTGACATATTTCATGATATTCATATAATAATTTGTTTTAAAAATGAATGAGAATATATTTATATAAAAAAAGAGAAAAGGTATTAGTATAGATTTTTATTTGAGCGTATTTAAAAGGTTCTACTTCAAAAACTTTATGTAGTTTGCTTTTTTAAGCAATATAAAACAACATCTTCAAGTTATTTGTTGCAATTCGGGGGATTAATCGTGAATTTTTGTTGTATATTAGTTCTAAATTAGTTTTTAGTAGATAAATTTGTCATGTTCCCGTTTGTATCTCATTTCATTTTTGCTTCATTGATGAAATTTCAATTTGTTGAGTGAATTACGACAAATTTGTTAAATCTTGTTTTAAGCACAGCGGCAATATTTAGAGTCTATTAATTATATCTAGACTTTCAGTATTTTGCATTATTTTTATGGTTGATGTTAGATCAATCGCCTAACTAAGTAACGCAAATATGTAAAATGACTTTTTCGCGAAAACGGTCTTGCAGATTTTTATGAGAGTAAGATATCAATATATACAACAATTGAGGATTGATCTTATTGCAGTGGCTTACGATTTTCATCGTTCAAAGTATCGGGGCAGATTATTAAATTTTAAGCTATACAATTTCCTTTGTAGAGCTTTATATTTTGAAAGAATAGAACGATTGGATATATTCTTATTAAGTATAAATGACATCGATTTTAAATTGCATATATGTCAACACTGTTTCTGACATTTTTGTAAATACAAAGTACTAAACTACTATGCATGAAGAAAACTTCAATTTCTCTCCACAATTAAGAGAAGTTTGGAGTTTTATTACTGAGAAAAATCCGCTTGAAGTTGTTCATGAGAATTTTTTTTTCTTGCGAAATAACGTATTTTTTGTGGACCTACCTTTTTAGCAATAGTAGTAAAGATTTGTTTCACTCGAGTTTATTTTTAATTCGTAATAAAAAAAAGATAAAAAATCGATAATTTTGCTTAATCTGAGAATGTTGTGAAACCACAAACATATCTCATTCATGATTTTAAGGTTTTTGTGCCATTTTTGAGAGTGGAGTTGTTAAATTTGTTTAGTTAAAATATACATGTTTATTAAAAACTTTATGTATTCAAGAAAATAAGTTAAAATTAATTTTCAACATTTCGCACAACATTGAATTTAAAGTAATTTCAGAATTTTTTAAAAAAATTGCTGGAAAAATTATTAATGGACGACAAAGACATTCATCTAAATAGATTCAGCGAACTGCGAAGTATCTACAAATACTATATTGATTCATATATTGCGTTGTATAAGCTGAAAACGAAAAAAAAGAAGATTTAAACTCAATATACAAACAGATCAAAACAGAATTGATTGATTCAAATAAATATCCTCCCCAAATAATTATACGAGATATCTTATATATCATTCCGTATAATAATCGCTATACAAAGTCATATTTATATCTTGCCAAACTCATATCTGACGATTACCATGTCACAGAGGTCAGGAGAGTTAAACTTATTTCAAACTTCCTGTTTTACAAAGAATATGGAATTAAATTAGACGAATTCGATGATTATGGAAAAAAATAGCTTAAAAAATCTGATAATTCATACAGAAGATTCAATTGACAGAGCAATTATGAATAATGACCTAGAATCATTCATTGCATTCACTGAAAGAGATGAATTTGATGAAGATCAAACACTTGGAAGCGATTTATATCCATCACGGAGATTATCATTACTTGAATTATGTTGTTACCATGGAGCTGTTGATTGCTTCAAGTTTTTAAGAACGGAATTTGATTCAAAAATAACTCAAACATGTCTTCATTTTTCATTTTTAGGAGGAAATCCAGAGATCATGAGTGAATGTTTGAAACATCACAAACCAGATGAAAAATGCATGAAATATGCAATTATTTCACACAACATTGATTTTGTTACATTCTTGATGAATGAATACAAAATGAAGATCGATTCATACTATTGTGGAATGTATAATAATCTTGAGACATTATTTGTTTATTTCGATCAAACTAATGATATTAATATATGCTTTATAATATCGACGAGGTTCGATATTCCATCTCTTTGCGAATATTTCCTATCAAATGGTGCAAATATCAATGAAAAAGATGAATATGGAAATACGGCTCTTCATATTGCAGCATGTTATAATAGTAAAGAAACGGCCAAACTTCTTATTTCACATGGTATTAATATTAATGAAAAAAATAATGATGGAGAAACCGCTCTTCATATTGCAGCATATTATGATAGAAAAGAAACGGCCAAACCCCTTATTTCATATGGTATTAATATTAATGAAAAAAATAATGATGGAGAAACCGCTCTTCATATTGCAGCATTTAAGAATAGTAAAGAAACAGCCAAACTTCTTATTTCCCATGGTGCATAAATATAATATTCTTATAATATAGGCTATATTCTTATAATATAGATTATATTCTTATAATATAAGTTACATCAGATACAATTCTTTCTTTTTCTGATATTTTCAAAGATGAACTTCATTAGAAATAAGCGCCCACCGTTCTCTGTATAGATCTTTTATTCACAAACATATATGCAAGGGTTGTTGAGCACAAAAAGTGACATTTATATATACGCTGGGCGAAAACCTCACAAGAGCTCCAAGCGGCAATATCCCTAAAGTTGAATCAATGGTTCTTCATACACAATTCGAATCATTGAATAACATTTGATTTATTTCGTTTTTCTACAGATCACAGGCAAATTCTATACTTTTTAGCAGAATTTCTTAATACAAGATCGCCCATATATACCACATAAATTAAGCGCCTACCGTTCCCTGTATGCAAACATAGAGTACCCATCAGAAATAAATAAAAGAAAATATTATTATTATTTTTTAATTTTCATAATTAATAACAAATAAGTATAAGGTATAATACCGAAATTAGAGTTTCTTGTCATTATCAGCGTGTTTAAATAATATTTGAAGCTCTTGAAAACATTGCTGAGTTATCTTAGATTGAGTAATCTGAATTGGATTGTCAGCGTCTAATTCTGGAATGTATTTCTTTAAAGTAAACATTACATTAATCAAAGTCTGCGGATCTGAAATTGATTCAAAATTATCTTGTAAAGTTTTGAGTTCCGCTGGTGAAATATGTTTCTTTAGATCTGTAGATTTCGATATCTCTATTGTTCCAATTCCCTCGATGCAATCTGTTAGAATTTGTATCTGTTTTTGAAGTCTGTGATTTACAAAGTCCTGGAAGTTCTTAGGACTATGATCTAATTTATTTTCAAGCCACTCTAAAATCTCCTGTCCAATGAAATATTTTCCAGTTCCTTCATAATTTGAGTCAATATAGCTATATATTAGATTTGTCATGTCTATTGACCAATCGAACGGAGTTATATATTTGTTTTCGTTTAATGCATCATAAATGAATTTAAAATTTCGCAGCGAAGAATTTGCTGGTTCATAGCGAGCTAAGCATCCACGGATAGGATGTTTTTCCATTCTATCCATTATCATTTTGCACCAATCTCTATAGAATGGATCCATAAAATGAACTAAAATTTAGGAAATTTTGTCACTTTTATCAATAGTACTCGTCGTTATATTCTAATTAGAAAATCCAGCATTCTAAGATTTCCCTTCAGAACCTTCTCCTATAGTTTCAAGCAAATAAGAAAAAAACTTGAAATATATGAAATATCTAATACTAAACAGAAAGCTATCAATATGATAGACAATCAATTGTTTTTTCGAGTGTTTGATAAGTGGCCTATAATTTATGTAATAATCTCAATTTTTAAAATTTTCATTGGAAAACTTCTCCAATGATGTCAAGATGTAAGTATTATAATTTGCTTAGCATACTAATTCATTTCTTGATATGTTAAGAAATGAATTGATTTTGGTATTTTTGAAAAATCAGTAATAATTTGTTGAAACAATAAAAAAAATATATAATATTGTTTAGTCTCTTCTCAAATCACCAGGGTCAATTGATCCAACATCGTCATTTGCTCCTGATGAGCTAGATGTACTTGAAGTCTTCTTAATCTTTGCCAAAGTCTTCAAGTATTGAGCAACTTCATCCTGATGTCTCTTCATAGCGAGTTTAAGTGGAGTTCTACCATTCTTATCTTCCGCATTTAGAACGATATCAGTTCTTTCTGCGAGAATCCTAACAATTTCAAGGAATCCGCACTTGGCAGCCTCATGCAAAGGTGTTCTATCAACCTTGGCCGTAATGTTGACGTCAATATTCTCTAATGAAACTAAATACTCGACAAGATGGATATCGTTGTTCCAAACAGCATAATGGAGTGGCGATGATCCATGTTTATCACGAATATTGACATCAATGCCCTCAACTTGGCAGAGAATCTTGACGATATCTAATTTCGACAAGAAAACTGCGTAATGCAAAGGAGTGACGCCATTGTTATCCATGGCATTAATATCGATACCTTTAGCGCTGGCAAGGAACTGGACAATTGATGGATTTCCATTTCTTGTTGCGAAATGAAGAGCCGTTGATCCGTAGTCATCCTTGCAGTTGATATCGATGTTTCCTTGCAATAAGAGGATCATTAAGTACATGTTGTTCCACTTTGCCGCCATTCTGAAAGTTTCTTCTCTTCTCTTGTTGCTGAGACCAGTAATGAAGCCTAATATGAACTTGTTCTGTCCACAGCAGCAGCATGTTGTAGAAATTGGGTCATTTCGGAAAGAGAAATCTGGCATTCTTCTCAAAAGGTACAAAAAGCAAGCCTGAGAGCCCTGTGTTGCGGCCATTTGGATAGGAAGTAATTCTTCAGTGCCGTAAGTGCCTTCATCTTCTCCTGTTGTGAGATCTACGAAATAAGATTGAATTGGAGTATTTGGATCGAAAGTAAGCTTTCTAATCATCTTGAGATCATCATTGACTAACGCTGTTGTAAGCTGATCCCTGACTAATGGAAGATTTCTGTCTTCTTTGAAATCTTTAGCGTCATCGTTCATTAACTGGTTGAAATTGTCCTTAAACTCATGAAGGAACTTGTCCATGTTGCCCATTCCGTTCTTTGACCTGTAATTGAACAATTTCATTTTAAGATAAGCGAAAATTTCTTCGGATACTTCCATGACCAAGTCCGCAAAGAAGTAGAAGACAAGCAAGGCCGATTTCAAGTACATGTTGGAAGATCTCAAAAAATCTATCAGAGGAACAACGAATTCCTCGTTCGTAAGTGTGCCGCAGTTGGAGCAGACCCTCAGAAAAGCAATATAAACAAGCTGCTGATGCATGGGATCCGGTGTATAAAGAGATGACATAATTGTACTGAAAACAAACTGCTTAAGGATAGTGCAGCCTGAATCATGTATGTATTTAACGAGTTTTGCGTATAAGAGTTGATTTCTTTGGCGAATTTGAACTGCTTTGAGGATATTTTGGGCCAAAATCATTGTTTTAGCCTCGTCCTCGTCATCAAATGATAATTCTCTGATCGCGAGCTTAGAAGAATCGAAGTTCTCCTCTGTAAGATTTAATAATAAATTTTGAAGACCCAAAACTTGGTAAATATCGTTGTGGTAGATAGGATTTAGCTTGTCGAGAGTGAACTCCTTCGAAAGAAGCTCCTTGGCCTTATCAATGTTCTTTCCTGCCGCTTGAATAAGAAATTCAAGAGCTTCATCTTCAGTTTGTTCGCTGGATCTGTGCTCGTAAAGCCATTTACCCCAGATATATTGGGCTTCCGCATGTCCACGTTCAGCAGCGGCCTTAAGGAAGGCGATTTGTGTTGGATTCTTCGGTTCTTCGTAGTTTGGAGGTGGAACATCTTCATCAATGGCTGCTGTTGATGTTTGGGAGTTGAGAGCTGTTGATCCGCGTGCATGGGAAACAGATCTTGTAAATGTTCGTGTAGATGTACGAAGATTTTCTTTCTTTTTCTTTGGACGTGATTCGTCAATGACTAACTTGTAAAATGCAAATGCATCTTCACCTTCTCCGACGTCTGCGTTGAGCCAAGTCTGATCAAACTTTTCATTTTCGTTGATCGGGCCAAGTAATTGATGAATGAGATGGGACATGGCAATAAGAAAATCTCTGAGTTGTGGGAATGGACATTTTTCGAATTGGTCGGCAATTTCGATGATTTCATCGCGAGTCATGTTATCAAATGAGTTTCTCTTGATGAAACCGATAGATTCAAGACCGCAGAAAGCAGATGCGTTGTAGCAAAGGCGAACAATTTGATTGGCTGTAAGTTTTCCTGGATATGCAGCGATCATTCTTTCAATTGTTTCAAAAGAAAGCGTTGCGAACTTAGGGCACTCGATATAGCGTGGTAAATTGCTGACAATAATATCTTCCAAGCGTTGATGATTAAATTGAGTTCCTAAAAGTGAAATGTAAAGGCCAATAATTTCATTAGGATTTGCTCTTGTGTTAATAAGTTCTTCTATCTGGACAATAAGTAATTTTGAGTCCCAGGCATCTGATATTAAAAGAAGATCAACTAATGCTCTTGGCGATGCGGCTACAGAGTTCATCTGGAGCGCATATATGTATGTTTCAAATGCTGGCTCGCTGAAATTATCGTTGACAACACATTTTGTGGAATTTTCTCTAAAATATTGAGCAAAAACACGCGAATATTGCATTGCTGGAAGCGGATCAAGTTGATATTTAAATCCATTATGAACTATAGTATATGACTCTGCATTGTAGAGGTTGTCATCGTCATCTAATAACAACATCACGACAAAGTTTTGATACTTCCGAAGATTAAACGGTTTTAAAACGCATAACCGTCTAAACGAATTTGCTTGAAATATGGATTTATTAGCTGTATAGATCATTATAAAATAAAATAATTAACAAAAACATTGAATCTAATTTGGAAATTCAAAATTTTTTGAGATGTATTAGTTATAATGGCATATAATATGAATACTAAGATCTTAAGAATATCTGATGTATTGAGAAATCATTATGATGCCTGTGAATTAAAAATTCTACATCTTTTGAAAATTGAATCATATTTTTTATAAATATTGCAGGAAATTATCATTAATTCAATTTTCTATGTTTATAACAGACTAAAATAAATCTCAGGAATATCCTATTTCTAGATGAAATGATAATATAATTTTATAACATAACAAATAAATTAAATAGAGAAGATTCACTCATTCGAAGGAGTGGTAGGACTTGAAGACGTAGAGTAAAGTATTTACGTGGCAGAGGAGGTCGAAGTGGAACGCAAATAGCATCTCGAATAAAAGCTTTATTCATAAATTTCTCATTCGGATATGATTTGGAAACATGAACGGTGCAATCATTTGGTAATACAAAATTAATATCATTAGATCCACAAAAATAAACATCTTTAAATTGTACATTATTTGCATCAATTTTTGAAGTTCTTGGTGGAATATAAATTGTTTTAAGTCCAATATCATTAAATGCAGCAGAGGAAATGCTATTTATTGTATCTGGAAGGATTAAACTTTTTAAACTATAGCATCCGAAAAACATTGCATGAGGTATTGAAGTTGCATATGCTGCGCTTAAATTAATATTTTCGACGTTTCGACACTCACGAAATATCTCTTGCTCAAAAACTTTTATCGAATTGTTCAAGATGAAATTCGTAAATGTGCAGCCGCGAAATGATTTTGCACCTGAAAGGATTTCAACTGATGGTGCAATATCGATTGTATAACTAGACGGATAGATATATAGCGTTTTATAATTAGAACTGTATAAAATGCTGTTGTGAACTTTGAAAAATCGACTTTTTGAGACAATTTCTGTCAAACTGTTACATCCCCCAAAAGATCTAATTTCAATTGTATCTACATTCTCTGGGATCGTAATGCTTTTTAAGGGCGTATATTGGAAAGTTCCTTCTGGTATTTTCTTTAGTGAATTTGGTAGAGAAATATTTTCTAAACTTGATAGGGTAAAAAAAATTTTTCCAATAAATATAAAGAATTTGTGAGTGAGAGATCTATATTTATAATTTTTGAAGACTGGAGAGCATTTGCTCTTATTATTTTAACTGATTTTGGAATATTAATTAATTTCAGTTTAGAACTAAAAAAACATAAACTACCAATCTCAACAATTGAATCAGGGATTGATATCTCAATATGATTACATTCGAAAAAACTAGAGGGTCCTAATATTGTAACTGGTTTTCCACTGATAAAATTTGGAATTGTTAATTTTGAATTAAAAGATTGATCAATTGAAGGACTTGTACCATTTCCGATTTGGACCGAGTTTTGTGAGAGAACTTTGTACATAATCGGTGTTTCTGCATCAACATATTGGAGTGTAATTTATGAAAAATATTTTCTAAAAAAAAGTCACATATTTTATGACACTTTTTCATTCTATTCAGAAAAAAAATGTCACCTGACTTCTGATATTTTTATTCATTTTCATTCAATTTCATAAAATCGAATAATGTTTTGAATTACTATCTTTTGAGAAATAACGACTTTCAAATACCAGTTTTTCATATGAAAAATCATTGTAAAATGAATCTCAGAAATTCTGATGAAACAAGTTTAATTACATTCGAGTCTTGAATTGCATATATTGCAATCAGAGCATATAAATATATTACCACTATAAAAGAACCATAGTTATCTCCGTTTATAGAAGAAATATTTTATTAAGTAATATCATGAATTGCGACGGAAATAATCTGAGAAAAAAAATTGTGGTTCTACATTTAAGAATTATGAATAGATAATTTTGTTTATAATTTTATTCAATTATAAATAGAATAAATATAGAAAATTCACTCATTCGAAAGAAAGGTGAACAACGAATTTGTATGGTATTATATTTCCGTGGTAAAGGAGGTCGAAGTGGAACGCAAATAGCATCTCGAATAAAATCTTTGTTCATAAATTTGTCATATGGATATGATTCTGAAACATGAACGGTGCAATCTTCTGGTAACTCAAAACTAATATCGCTCAATCCGCAATAATAAACATCTTTAAATTCTACAATATTCTCATAAATTACAGAAGTTCTTGGTGGAATATAAATTGTTTGAAGTCCCATATAATCAAAGGCATTATCATATATTGTAATGATTGTATCTGGAAGTATTAAAGTTTTTAATTTATGACATTCATAAAACATTGCGTGTGGTATTACGGTTGCATATGCTGAACTTAAATCAATGTATTCTAAGTTTCGACATTCACGAAATATCTCGAGTCCAAAATCTTTTATCGAATTGTTCAAAATAAATTTTGAAAATGTGCAGCCACGAAATGATTTTGCTCCTGAAAGAATCTCAACAGATGGTAGGATATCGATTGTATAGCTAGATGGATATATGTATAATGTTTTATAATCAGAACTATACAAAATGCCGTTATGGACTTTGAAAAATCGACTTTTTGAGATAATTTCTAATAAATTGTTGCATCCCGCAAATGCTCTAACTTCAATTGTATCTACATTCTCTGTGATGGTAATGCTTCTTATTGGGGTATATTCGAAAGTTCCAATTGGTATTTTCTTTAGTGATTTTGGCAGTGAAATGTTTTCTAAATATGATTGAAGAAAAACATAATTTTCTAATAAATATGAAGATGTTGTAAGTGAAAGATCTATATTTGTTATTTGTGATAACTTAAATCCGGAATCCCTTATTATTTTAACTGATTTTGGAAAATTAATAGATCGAAGCTTAGATTTAAAAAAACAAAAGCTACCAATTTCAACGATTGAATCAGGGATTAATATCTCTGTAAGATCACACTTATAGAAGCTAGAAGCTCCTAATATTGTAACTGGTATTCCATTGATAGAATTTGGAATTGTTAGTTTTGAATTAAAAGTCTGATCAATTGATTGATTTGTTCCATTTCCTATTTGAATCGAGTCCTGTGATAAAACTTTGTATGTAATTGGAGTTTCTGCATCATTGTATTCAAAAGTTATCTAAAAAATACATAATCAAAAAAGGTCACTTTTATTTTAATAATTTTTGATCATTCTCCCTTCAATTTCTTGGTAATAGCATTTCTAGCAACGATATTACATATAAGATAGAATAAACAAAATCAATATGTACATATATATTCAAGATTAATGAAACACTGGCAAATCGAATAAAAGTTGTTTCAAATCATAATTGGAAATATGCAATAGTAACAGAGAAATCATAAGTTATCTTGAATTTAATCTTCATATAGTATATAATTATCTTGATATATCATTGAAAATTATGTGAATATATATTCTATTTATATTTGAATTTTAAGGGTCGTTATCGATTTTGTAATTTAATCGTTATCGTTATCGATTTTGTAATTTAATCGTTATTGTCTTTTTCTAAACGTGCATTTTGGAACTAAATCGCATATAACTTTAAAATGACTTAATATTTAAAGGTTTATGTGGTAAATATCAACGAAATGTAATATTAATATGTGCACCATATATGAATTACAGACATTTGAGCAATTCGAAATTTCATCGCGTTATATATTCATTTAAATTCGATCAAATCAACATTGCAATTATAAAACCATTACACATCCAGTCAATATTTTTCAATTTCATGCGAATTATATCATTATTACACATTTTAAAATGGCGAAATATAGTCCAAAAAATAAACTTCGTTTTAAACTCAATTCTCACACATATTCGGATTAAATCATATGTGACTCATATGATCATACATCTCATTTGAGGTCTAAAAAATGATTTACCGAGAAAACTTGCATTCGAACTAAAATTTACTAAATTTAATCAAATTGGTTTACAAACGTAAAGTTTATGCCAAATATTTACGTTTGTAAACTAATTGAGTAAATTTATAGCACTTTTTTCTCGATGCAATAATTTGAACGACAAGTTAATGTAATTAGTGTTCTCATGTTTACAATTCAATATGTCTATGCATATGATATATGCAAATTCTATAAATAAAATATTATTAAATAAAATTCTTTTCAATTCCTTAAAAATAGCGTTTCTTTTGAATAAAAAATGATTTTTAACTAATTTTAGGACTCTTTCTATTTCAAAAAAATACCTGAATTTAATTTTCTGATGCAAAATTTATGCTTTTTATCATGAAATTCTTTTTTTCAAATTTTTTTTGGATTTTTTTCCATTTTGAATATAGTTAATTTTACTTTATTTCACATTCTATTAAGAAATACTTAGGCCAATCCCTGTGGGACCCAGTGGTAACTTTCCATGGAAACCACTCAGTGGGAACATTTTTTATTTTTGACGGAAAAAATTCTAAATATTTTTTTCATTTTTTGATTTTTGATTTTTTTTTGGAATTAGAGAATAAAATTTAAAGCGATAGATATGCTTGATTATTCAAGATATTGATATTAAATCAGAAATCAATGGTAAATAAAGAGTTTTATAAAAACTTACCACGTGGTAAGATGAAGTGACCACAAATTGAGTTGTGGTACATAAAAATTACCACAAAATTGAGAACTTTTCCCACAAATTGAGAATTTTTACCATAAAATGAACGATGGATATCCACGAAAGTTACCAAACTCACTTCTCGCGCAAAATATGTTTAATATTACATATTAAATACATTTATCAACATTAATTATTTTGAATTGTGGTAAAACGATATGTCACATATTTTTTTATAAAAATTTGTAAAAATGTTTATTTTAATTTATATAATTAAATATTAAAATTTTAAATTTTGAAATAAAATAAATTAAATTCGTCC